CTCAAAGAATAACGCGACAATGGTAGTACAGTTTTGGGGTGTCGATTTTGCAGGGAGATAGAAAATCACTCAAAGAATCCAAAAGGTTAATGTTTTCTTGAAATGTGTAGGAGAATTCAATGCTAAAGTAACGAAATTAAGATTAACGTCTTGATATGCTGAAGCGTCGGAATTTCCTCAATTAGATTGGGTCAATCACATCAATTATTCATTTTTATATGTCAATTAGAGAATTTTTATCCCAACTCTCTAATTGAAAGATTTAACAATAAAGATCAATTTAATTCACAATTGTAATCCTAGAAAAGAATCTAGACTTATAACACATTCGCACATTTTTATTGGAACGAGATCAAAGATCAACCATATATACATCAAGCATAAGGCAGTAATCAATCCGCCAATAAAATTATATTAAGAGTAAAATTCAAAAATTATTTTAATCATTCGATAGAAAGAGCATGACTAGATCTATAAAGGATATGATAAAACTTAAACCAATCTCAACAATAAGAAATTGAAATTGAAACTCAACAAATAATTTAATTTAACAATGGAAAAAGCATGACTGAATGCATGAAAAATCTTGTAAATGTTAAACCAATTTCAATGTAAATTTATAAGAATGAAAATCTAAAAACTGGAATTGTTAACAGTGACAAATCAAAATATATGAAATGATGGATGTAAAATCTCCAAATTCAAAGAGTTTCTTCTTAGCTTCACCTCGATTCTAGTTCTTCATGGTGTTTCTTGTGCCAAAGATGAGAGAAAAGTGTATGGGAGCGTTCTCTTTTGTTCTGGGGTGAATTAGGGCTTAAAAATCTTGTCTTGAATTATTACCATAAGTGGTTGAACAAAATAAGGAAATCAAAAAATTCGCGCCTGGATTATATTATGCGGTCACAAGGTACAATCCTATGCGGTCGCATAGTTCACCAAAAAATGGCGCTATGGTTCTCTGAAAATAACCATGCGGTCGCATACATTTTAAACTATGCGACCGCATAGTTATAATATTTTTACTCTGGATAGCTTTCAGTATTTTAACCAAAACTTTCTCTTCCGATATCCAATTGAGGTGGTTCAAAGTGAATTGGAAAGCTAACAAAAAGGGGCTACAGTGTTTCTTGAAGTAGCTCTTTACCAATTTGAAAGTTTACTAGGTCAAAAATGGATCACAATCTCTGACTGAAAATTTGAAACATTCTTGTGCAGTTAAAAATCGATTTGTGAAAATGTTATGGTCATATTTAACTTCTTTTGAGTTCTAATTGCAACCAATCGACTCCTAGTATTGTGAAATCATCATTCCATCGCACGTCTTATCTTTGAATTATTTACAACTTGGTCCTTGAAATTTCACTTGTTTCAATTTTGATCTTTTTTTCGCTCTTTTTCTCCTGAATTCCATTGTATTCATCCATTTGCAACCTAAATAAAAACAAACAGGTACTTAGTGCATTTAGGCGTCAATATATCATAATAATGCAAGTATATATGAATGAATTAATTAACAATTTGTGCCATTATTAGTGGCCATTAATTGTATAACTGTGATCTTATTATATTTAATTAATAAATATATTTAATTAATTAGTTAATACTTCATTTTAGCACTTTTAAACTTAAAACCTGATTTTTGAATTGTCCATAATACACGAGTTGTGAATTTTTCCCCTAATAGAATATGAAGATTATAAATATTTTCTAATATCAAATGCTGGTATAATTAGCAATAAATGAGATAAGACTGCATTTGTAATTATGAAACTCTTCGTATTTATGATCCCCTTGTTAATCTATTTATTGTCAATCAAAATGTAATTATGAAACTTCATATTAATGATCCTCTTATTAATCTCTTTATTGCCATTCAAACGATTTATTTCCTTCTACTATAATTTTTTTATATTTACTTTTCTTTTGAATATTCTTTAAACAATTGAAGCCACCACAAATTAATGAAAAACGTACCAACTAAATAAAGTATCGAACCAAAACAATAAAAATGTATAATCTCCAAATTCAAACTAAGCAAGGACGTAAAATGGAAAAAGAAAGTGAAAGAAGGGCCGAGCAACAACTAGAGTAAAAAAAATTCATGCTAAGTATATCCATACCACATAGTTTTTAATAACTAGATTACATTTTAAATGCATGAAAGATTTATAACCTTCACACATTATCATATTTATGTGTCAAGTTTTTTCATCACATTTTTATTTTCAAATTAACATAAATTTTTCTTGATTATAGTTTCTCTCCAAATTTTTCTTTAAAATATAATAAAAAAAATATCCATTTTCCATTATATTTTTAAATAGGCAAAGCAAATAATAATGCAAATATGCAATTAAATATTTGACCCTCATTTTAAAGTACGTTAAAATATTTTTGGATGAAAATCATGATTAAAGGACAAGGTTTTTGAATCAATGAAATATTAGAAATAAGACTGTGGTCAATAAAAAATTAAGGAATAAATGTGATAATGAATAAAAGTTAAGGAATTTTAATGTAATTAAAATGTCTTGTATTTATAAAAAAAAATATATATATGATGTCAATATAATCGCACAAAAATTAAACAAGTATAACACAACGAAGAATAAATGCAAATAAAAATAAGGGAAATTTGATAGCTGGGTTTCCGAACATTGATCCGTAGCAATTGGATTCCCATTCTTCATTTTTTGGCACTTGAATCTTCAAGCATAGACGATGGGTACACTTGGGGTCCTTGAAAGACAATTCTATCTATCATAATGTCATATTTCAAGCCACCATATTGCATGTGAACTAATTCAATAAAGTCATGAGTACAGGAAAAATTTAACAGAACTTTTATCGACGTTGATGTGGCAAAATGTAAGTTGACTGTTTTTCTTCTTTTTTCCCATCTTTCAATGATGTCGCACCATGTATTGTTTGTAAGATTTTTCTATCAAAAAATTCTATATTTATAGTATGATTCGAACTAATTTAAGGGCAATTTTTTTCATTTATCGTCTTTTCTCTGCACTACCGTGTTAGACAATCTTCCAAAAAAGTTCTTTGCATTCGAAATCCACCAAATCCATAATTCGAGATTTCATTAACCAGTTGGGAAGATTTTAAAGTAGCAATTTATAAAGCTGTTTCACAAAGTAATGTAGGAAAAACCCAAAAAAAAAAAAAAAAAAAAACATATAAAAAAAAAGGTATTGGAATTGT